ATAGTTTTTTAATTTTTTTAATTAATATATTTTATTATATATAAATTTAATTAATTAGGGGAGGTCGGAAATCGCAATTAAAATTTTAATTTTTTAAAAATATTTAAAAATATACGGCCAGCTAATATTCACCCTACTTTAAACCCTTGTCCTCCCGAGATGTCTGAGAATGTCCCGGGAAATGGGACGCCAGCTGTTCTCAAGGTCATCCAGCTGTGTAAACAATGACTCATCGGTGTCAAATTTCACAGAAAGGCGAGACAAAGGAAGTTAAACTTTCAAGCTTTTTCTTCAAAATTAACGCATTTCTTTTGTTTTTTTTTCAGTTTTAAGTATTTTTTATGTTTAATTATAATTAATTAAAAATTGATCGGAAATGAAGGAGTTAAATAAAAAATATACACACATTTTTTAAGGAGGTGAAAGAGCTTATTTTCAGATTCAAGGGATGCTGACCACTAAAAAGGTTAAAGTGGTGATAAAAATATAATACTGGAGATAGCAAGTGGTGATAAAATCTCTAGTCTGCTTGTTTCAACATTCAGTGTGAAATTGAATCACAAATCATACTTCAGGAAAAAATAGCAAAATGTTGAGCTTCTGTACAATGGGCAGCCTATGCATCAAACACCTAGTGATTTCATGACATTATGTGGCAAATTTGGACAAAAAAAGTAGGAAGCAATGTTGAGAACCAAAGGCAGTTTTATGCAATGCCATCCAGTGTTTACAGATTGTTTTTTTAAACAATCGACAGAAAATTTTAGGGATGACTTTCAATCTGATCTTTTTCAGTATACTAAAATAAAAATTTTGACATGACACAACCTGTGAAATACTGTTTAACACTAAACAGTAAACACTGTGATCAAATGTGTTATTTGGAATTATTCATTAAAAATTATTCAAAACTGATTCCTATTTCTAACAAGGGAAGGCCAGACATTCAGGTCTCTAATCCAAATGAAACTTGGTGAGCATGTAGCCCTAAACACAAACAGTTCCTTGCCCAAATAATAGGACCCACTTATGTTTCTGATGTAAGCTACAATTGTCACTTCAAGCTCTTGAAAAAAACTAAAGTTATTTTCATACACCTAACTTTCACAGTTCCCCAAAGATAAAAGTTGGGTGGGCTTAGAAATTACACAATCACTAAAGGTTTTTCAAATAAGAGTCATTGATCGTCTAAGCAATATATATTGTGGATCCATCTTGCTGAAATTATGGATTATTTCATTCCCATTTAGTTCACCAATGCATTGATACAGAATATCTACAGTAACAATCACTGTTTATGGGACCCTAAAAAACAGAGTCAATGATTCTCTTTTATATTGCCACTCATAAACTAACTTTTTGCTTAAAAGAGGTGATCTCATTTAAAATGTATGAATTCTGACCATAACCTACTATTTTGAGAATTTATATAGCCTGACAAAGTTTCACTAGTGAAAAATGTCATATAAAAAATATAATCAGTGTGGTCTCTGGTGAACTACTGAAATTAATGACAGTGGTCTTTGATGATCTGTTTCAATTCTTGTACAGTAGGACCCTGCTTAATGCTGCCTCAATGTAACACAGTCTGCTCAAAGCCTAAAAAAGCTAAAAATTTATGCTGATTTAAATTATTATGGCATTTCATTGATTCATATATATAATACGATTATTCCCAAACAAGAACCAATCAGCAAAAGATGTCAATTCGTCATAGTGCCATACTTTCCTTAAATCTATGATTGCTTGGTACAATTTTCGAAAATATATATCATCATTGATGCCATAGGTAATATTGACTTCACTTGGCAAGAATTAACTGATAAATGCATAAATGAAGTGTGGAAGAATTTATGGCGTAAGGTATTCAAAAATTCTCAACGAGAAGAGTCTATCATTGTATCATTAGGTTGACCAAATTGTCAACTTAAATGATACAGCAGGACTAGGAGATGTATTTGAACAGGATATTGAGGAGTTACTGCAGGGTTCCGATGAGAACCTTACCAACAATGAAGAACTGGCAGAACATGGAATTCATGTAGAACTGGATATTAGTAGTTCTGAAAATGAAGAACCCAAAGAACTTGTTACATATTTCCTTAGTAAAAGTTTGGTAACAATAACCAAAATCATTGATCAAATTGTAGCAAATGATCCAGATTTGCAATAAAAGCAGCTACTTAAAAAAAAATTTCATCAGGACCTTCATCACAAAAAAATGAACTTTACATTTCTGTGTGCATATGTTTGTGTGTTACTTAACATATATTATTATGCAAATTAATGTAAAAATGACTTAAAATTAAAGTAAAATCTGTGTCTTTGATAGAGTAAATAGGGAAAAGGAAAAACACTGTGTTAAAATGACCTTGTTTAATGCTGTTTCGTTTAGCGCTTGGTCGACTAGGAGCGTATGCCCCACGTTAAGCGGGGTCTTACTGTACTGAAATAATTTTGTAGGGGAAAAAGTTTCTTCTGTATCACTACATATGCCATTGTAATACCAATGTGATTCTGTTGTGGCAACTTCCAAACTGATTTTGATGGACTCTGCATCATTGAATCACTAATGTCCAAGAGTTTACAACAGTATGTAAACTGTATGTATGGTATTCCACTACATCACTGAACATCTTGGACTGAGCCTGTCTCAAAACTTCTCTAACACATCTGGGATTGGCATGTCAGGAAGTTTAAGAGAAAACTTTTCTATATCATCCATATAGTATCACCTTTATGAAAATAACACCCAATAAAAAAACTTGTTCCTCAATAGACAAAAACCATGTATGACCATCAAATTCAAAATATCCCACCTCATAATAGTTATGTACAAGATGTAACAAACCTCTGTGCCAATATTTTAGATTCTAGGGTCAAAGAATCTCAAACTATTACATAAATGTTTTTTGAATTCCATATAACTTTCAAGATCTGTCCTGCCAAAAAATCATACCAAAAACTGATTTTAAAACTTTCCATCAAAAGGATACCGCTACTTGTTTTTCACTTCTGGTGTTACCAACATTTAAAATAAAGCTTCAGTTTGTACTGTACATGTTGAAATTTTTTAATATATATGGAAATTGAATTTTTTTTAATACAAGTGTTAAGCTTTGGTTTGTTTTTTACTAGTAGTAAACATCTGCATCTACAAAGGCATTTTGAATAGTTTTTGTAAATTATTCTGTTTAATTTTGTAAAAACTGAAATGTTATTCAAAGTGAATTTACATTGAAAAACTCCTGCTTTTTTTACTATAAAGAGATAGATACTGCAAAATTTTGAAGTGCATAAGACTTTCTTTACATTTATTACAGTACCAAGGCTGTACATTCAATTATTATTCAACTTTACTGTGTTATATTCTTTAATTGGCAACAATGA